GAGTCATGTGCAAGTACTGATTGCATGAAAAGCCCTGTATTCTCTTTATTAGCACTTTCCTTTATGCTGACATGCTTTAATTTTAATCAAATGTTTTATTTAAATAAAAAAAAAATACGCTGACTAAAATGCTTAAGCTTCCAATTGGATTGGATGTAAAATAAAGTGTTTCAACGCCATACCATACGTTGCTGATCCAAATCTGCAGATTTCATTACATTGAATGACTTCCCTCCCTCCCATGTATGACAAGGATAACATGGCTACAAGCTTAATAATTCTCTAGGATTCTCAAAGATGTTAGGATTTTGTGGTTTAGTGGTAGAATCAAAAGTGCAACCCTGTGAAAACCTTAAAAGCTTTTTTTCAGATGTGTCCTGGCTTTCAAAAACCCTTTGTGATGGGGAAAGAAGAAAGCAAAGGATGCAAAGATGCACAAATATGTTTTAGTCATTTTTAACCAAAGTCTCTCCCAAAATATTTTCTGTGCCATTCCTTATCATTTGTCTTGATTAAAGCCAGATGTATACACAGCAAGGAGTCAACACTGCTTCCTGGATTACCTTAATAACAACTTTTGTTATACTATAACCAGAGACCTTAAATTTTGGAATGTTATAATACTTACATTCTCTTCATCACATTACGACATAATGAAACAACAATTAGAATAGGTTCAAAGACAGGTTTTTAGGAAGTACAAGAATTGCAATATAATGAACACTGCAGTATTGCTTTATAAACAGACTAGAGACATTATCAGGCAGACTTCTTTGTCAGGGCATTGTCATTTATCCATTACAGCCACAATGTTGAAGGAGCCCATGAAAATCCTATGGTTTCTTTTTCAGTTCTATACATTTTCATCAAAACCTGCAAGGAAATCATCATCTTTCCCCCAGTAACAGTCATTTGTCATTCAGCTTTCACCATAATATGCATACATGAGGAAAAATTAAATAAAAGCCAGTAGAAAATAGTAGTTATAATAAATGTTATGTTGCTCTTCTCAAATTCCAGTACCAAGATCTGAGATCTCACCAAACCCCAAGGACAGATGAGAGTCATCTAGTGTCTCACCAAGGTTCAGGGCATCCTTTTCCTGACTATATATGGGGTCTTCTTCTGGCTTTGCTGGGTAAATGGGTGAATGTTGCCAATATTCTGCGGCCCTCCTCCTGCTGTTACCCGGGAGCAAATGACAGACCTGTCATTCTTTGGTTTAAAAAAAAACCCTCCAACTCAGTGCCAGAGGAGAAAAAAAGAAACATTCATTCTGAAAGAGAAAGGACCAACCAAATTTCTCTGAACAACGTGCAAAACGGACAATGAAAGAACTGAAGTGGAAAGTCCTCTAGATGGTCTACAGCAATAGGATAAAGGCAAGGGTCTCCCCCATCCAGATTTTTTTTCCATGGTGTAAAACTGAAGGCAGGTAAATGACATTTTCATTGAAGATATTTTGTGAACTAGTACATAGACTATAATGAGTCATGCTGTTTAGGCGGGTATTTAACTGAACAGTAACTGGACTAACATAAACTCAAACCCACAGGGAAATCCACGTTATCTCCTTTATTCTTTTCTCTCTTAAGATGTCATATTTTTAACAGTCTTTTGTAGGAGACTTCAATCTATCTAAAAGTTTTTCCATAGGCAGCAGAACTCCTTTCCAGTTTGGAGGATTACGTGACTTCTCTTCAGGGACATATACAGGGTGAAATGAAAGACACTAAGGACAACATTTCTGTTGACTTCAGTGAGGCCAGGTTTTTACCCATAGCTTCCACACTACTCTTTGTTACAGTGATTAGGATAAACAGAATAGCTCTCAGACCCAGAACTGGAGAACCTTTATGGTTCCATCTGTGTGTTGCTATGGCTTTCCTCCCTGAGATTTTCCATTTCTTTTTCCAGATTATGTCTAGAGTTGAATGCGTTTTGCTGGAGAAAGAAGGACAGATGTCTAGGATTTCTCTTCTGTTTTTCTCCTGCTACCAGATCTCAAGTGCTGTTCTTTGTGGTAACTCATTCTTCAGGTCAAGCAGGGCTGGCTGAGGATCTCCTTACATCCTGTCATACTCCTGACTTATCCAAAACTGAAGAATGGATTTTATATCCTCTCAGAATGTGCACTGCTCCTATACTGGCTTCTTAAAGGCATATTTGGTACCATTGAGCATACCTAGCACGTATCAATATTGGCCATATGTAGCTATGTATATATTTTGCATTTTCCCACATAAATTATTTTCTGTTTTTGGAACCATCATAATCCATTATCGTACTTGATTTCAGGTACATTGGTAAATCATTATTAGCAGGAATATTAGAACATTTTGATTCTTAAGGATAATAGCTTCCAATTCTAAATCCATTCATTGAATCAATGCTCCTAAACGTACTTTATTATCCTAATAAAATGAAAACATAATGACAGGACACTAGAAGAAGACCCTAATGAAAGAAGCAGCTATACCAACACAGAAGGAAACCATCTAACCCTAATAGGCAGAAGTGGAATTCTCTTGCTCCTTTTGAGTACACAAATATGGGCATACAGATAGAGACAAAAATCACTTAGAGGTGCATTTGGTTGTCATTGTGAAAACATACCCATGTTACTTATTGCTGTGGGGAGTAAACAGTTTTTTACAGAGAGCACATACAAATAAAAACTATAGTTAGGTTTTTTTAGAACAGCGACAAACTCTCAACCCAGCACAGAATAAGAACTGTTAGTTGCTGCAAAACAGCTATAGTCAATTCAATCTTTTTGCTCCTGGCAAGTGCAGACTATTGTCTGAGTGCTAAGGACCCAGACTATAGTACACCACCACAAAAACTGGTCTCCTTTTTTCCCCATTCTAGTTTCATGTTCTACAGATGTCAAAGATCCTTGGACTTGTTTTTTAGTTCTAAGGAATTAAGTTTTTCACTTCTGCAATGCAATTTCCATTGGGCAGTTATAGCCTGGAGAACTATGTCATTTAGCAAATGCCAGTTTCAAAAGGCCCAAAGCTAATGCCTACCTAAGGGTCAATGGCACAATATCATAACTGGATATAACTGGATAGTTATTCAGTAACATGGACATCAACAATATCTTTAAGTGTCACCTCAATATAAACAAAGCAAATATTGCATTTTCTCATGTACATCACCCCAAATAAGATATGCACCTTGTTTCTGAAAGACAGAATGAAGAAGAAAAAGATATTTTCTTGAAAATGCTGGTAAGTAGCAGTACATAACTGAGTAGCAGCAGCTGGGGAGCCCAGGATGCTTGTTATGCTGTTCTCTGTGGAGCAGGTACCAAGTTGCTTTCATTCCTTTGCATCCTGCTCCCTCCCCACATATGCTGCAGAAACTGAAGTTACCATATTTCCTTGCTTATAATGTGCACCATGATTCTGAGCGGTTGATTTTTTTTGAGGGGAAAATGTACGTACTATATAGAAAAAAATATGGTACCATACTTCTAGAGATGAAAAAATGGATGT